GCACCGCCTTTGCCTCGGTCTTATTAAAGAAAAGATACATACAAAACAATTTTTTAAAATAGAAATAAATAAGAAGAGGATAAACTTTTTGATTCTCGGCAAAAACCAGACGACCTGCTTTTGATCTATTCGTCTTGCCCAAGTTAAAGTTCAAGCGCGCCCGCTTGGTGACGCGTTTGAGAAAATTCAATAAGTCGACCGAGCAAACTAGTGCAAAATTACAATATTATATTATACTTGTCAACGTAGATATTTCACGCCCTCATCCCCACAATTTGGATAATTTAGGAAGGAAAAAGTGGCTGTTTCGACCCTGCATGTCAGAGCCAATACGGAATGAGAGGGTTACAACGTCAAATCTCGAGTATATTCTCCATAACAAATATTTTCAGGTCGGAATCGAAGCCATGTCTTCTGCGTGTGATGGCAAAGCGCCAAGTCTCTGCACCACAGACGCTGGTTCCAGAAGAAGTGCTAAAAGTATGACAAAAAGAGGGCGTTCCAACAATCGTCCATACCCATCAGCCATAACAAAATCTGAAAGCATTAAATAATAGCTAGCTTAGGCTTCTGATAAACCGAATATGATTTTCAAAACAAAATAAACAACAAAACAAAAGAAAAGGTCCAGCAAATCTTAAGGTGAGACGTCCAAACCAACACTGATCACCAACAGCGCCAGTCAACTTTGCCAAATTGTATAGGTTTAACGCCCCTTGCAACACTGTAGATATATTTAAGAGGCGAGACCTCACAATATAATGTCCATCCCATATAAGGGCGAAGCCAAAACAAATAGGAAAACTCATATAAAGTGTCTTTCCTACGGACATAACTTTGGACCGAGCTGAGCATCAGACCCCCGAACCCAAAGCTTCACGAGTATGTAGTATGTACGTGTGAAGCCATAAAAACACTTATAAAATATATTTGCACAAAAAGAGCAGTGTTGTATGGGGTGGAAAACTTAACAAAAGAAGATTACCATTTTTGTTAAAATATATGTGTTTTTTACACCTCCATCCACACACTTTAGATCATTTAGAAGGAGGGCCAACCCTGGCTGAGTGGGATACAACGTCCCAAAAGAGAGGCCGAAATATTCGATTAAAAATTTTCACACCATGTGAAATGAACTTGGGTCTTTTGCATGCCATGGCAAAGCACCTGACAGCGACACCACAGACGCCATTAAACAGACAACTGATCAAACATATATCTTTCTTATCGCTCCTCCTTTTGCTTTGTACCAGTATGTAATTCTCTCGTACCATCTCTAATCTTTGGTACTTATATGACCCGATGTGTGTTGCAAATAACGTGAAGCTTTACGGAAAATAAACTGATCATACCTGTGAATACTTCTTCGGGTTCATGAAGGCTCGAACATTCTGCTCTAGGTAAGCCTGGGCCTGTGCAGCTATGGGTACAGACGACAACGACGATGAGGAAGATGACGTATAGGGTCCAGGAGGCGGCTTTCCAGCCCGATTGGCGTACCTGAGAAAATCAAAACAGTACAGGTAAAAAAGTCAATAGTTGTATTGAAGTGCGGAAGGTGAAACAGTATTAAATAACATGAATAGAACATTAATCAGTTAATATGTATAATCACCTGAAAATGGACATCCATCATATTGACGGTGCGTAACCTTAAGGTGTTGCTCCCTTCTGGCTTTACGGGAATCATTTTCCTTTATAAATTTTGAGCCGTCGAATTATTCTTTTGGTGGATACGAAGTGTTAACTATGTTTGATAACATTTGATATCTCTGTGGGAGGTTTGGCGAGCTCATATGACTGTAATTTTTTTCCGAAACAAACTAAGTAGGGTTTTTTAGTTTTAATAAGAGTTTTACGGCACTTGTAACACGGATAGGTCACAACAATATACAAATAATGAAGATAAGAAGAGTTACTATAGAAAAGCATCATTTGAAGAAAAGAAGGGGATAGACAAGGAAGATAGCTGTTTGATAAAAAAAAGAGTAAATCACACAAGGGAGCCTGCCAATCGCCTACTATGTAAGAGGTAGATGAGTAGATTTCTTTGTGTAAAATGGGATTCATGATCTCTAAAACTTAAACGATCTGTTGGCACTGTCAATGTTATCTGGCGAAAAGACAGTAGAAATTTGTAAAAGCAAAATGCATTGCACATTCTGTCCTTTTTGTATATTCTGTGGTCGCTGGGTTTTGGTTTTCCTTAGAAAGAATCAGGATATGAGAGAGACTTTTAAGCGGTGAAGAAAGAAGGCGGCGAGAGCGATCTGGAAATGTCAACAAGGGCGTGGCTGAATACTAGATGGATACCGGTAATAAGGACTTTGGAACCCTGCCTCGCCAAGGTCTGAATGATTAAAGGAAAGCTACAAATTGTACGTGCCTAAATGGAGAGAGAGGAAAGGGGGAGAGAAGGGGGGAGGGAGGAGGGGAGAAGAGAGACAGAGAGAGAGAGAGAGAGAG